TCAAACACACATAAAAATCAAGTTTCACTTCTTATCACTTCTTTTCGCTTATTTTGGCTTATTTTTGACTAATATTCTACTATATTTGCTTATATTTTCCTTATTATGTTATAAGTTCACCTAAAAATTTAGTGGAACTTATAACAAAATATTTTTGAAAAAACAATTTGAACAAGATATTAGAAGGATAATAGTAACTTATAGTATACTTATAAATTCATTAAGTGCCTAAAGTGCAAATATTTGCATTTTGTGGTCTTAGTAGGTACATACGGCACTTACTATTGGGATACAGAGCTTACAGTATGTCACTTAGCGGACTTACTGGGACAGCACTTAGCGCGCTTACGTAAGTGGCTTACAGCACTTACCTAAGTCCGCGAGCGCTTTTGTGTTTCCACAAAACTCGATTTGGATTTTTGTGTTTCCACGAAAACTTGCAACGGAATTTTGTGTTTCCACCAAAACCCCATTCAGAATTTTTGTGTTTCCACCAAATGTGAAACGGGATTTTGTGTTTCCACAAATTTTTGTAAGTGCACTTAGCCTAGATACGTAAGTAGCGTAAATCCTTTACAGGACTTAGGCCACTTAGGGCTTAAGCTGCCTATCTCACTTAGCCCACATAGGCTAAGTGGTTAGCCAAGTGCCATACGTCGCGTAATCATTTATGCAACATAATATATAGTTAGCCCAAAACTGTAACTACTTACGTAAGTGACTTAGAGACAGCACCCCGCTTAGCACCACTTATAAGGTAACTTAGCACCACTTATAAGGTAGGTTACAGCACTTAGTAAGTAGGTTATATATAAGTGCTCTAACCTTGCTATGTACTTATAACCGCCCCCGGCCCTCCAAGCATGATCCGACCACACACGAGACCGTCTCGCAACCGTCGCACCGCAGAGGTAGATCATCGAGGTTCGGGGACGGACTTTGTATGGAAAAACATAGGGTTTCGTGCATCTTCTATCTCTCAAAAACGCATTTCGTGCGAGACTTCCTCCAAAACTCCTCCACCAGCACCACTTGCAATCCCATTTACAGTGAGGGAACGATCCTAGAGTTGCAAATCACAATGGAATTCCATCGGCAACTCATCCACCAGCACCACTTGCAATCCCATTTACATTGCGGGAACGATCCTACAGTTGCAAATCACAATGAAATTCTGTCGACCGTACATGGACGAAACACAGGTGAAACCCCATTTGCAATGCGGAACCGATCCGAGACCGATCCGCCCATGATCCGACCACACACGAGACCGTCTCGCAACCGTCGCACCGCAGAGGTAGATCATCGAGGTTCGGGGACGGACTTTGTATGGAAAAACATAGGGTTTCGTGCATCTGCTATCTTTCAAAATCGCATTTCGTGCGAGACTTCCTCCAAAACTCCATCGGCAACTCCTCCACCAGCACCACTTGCAATCCCATTTACAGTGAGGGAACGATCCTAGACTTGCAAATCACAATGGAATTCCATCGGCAACTCATCCACCAGCATCACTTGCAATCCCATTTACATTGCGGGAACGATCCTACATTGTGATGCCCCCGAGATACAACTTGACTTATATCCTCTGCAAGATGATTTATAACATGGGTTAACATAAGTTATAACATAGGCTAACTTGAATAAATTATGTTGAATTTATAACATGAGATGTGGAATTATAACATAAGTTATACTATCCCAAGGAAAAAATATAAAATGAAGTTATCGAAGTTACGCGGGTTAGCTATTTTTTTGTTCATTTTGAGTCATGTATGCCATGATAGTTTCTCAGTGCTCAAAGAGAGTTTTTTTTCCAAACCGTCATGGCAGCTGCAGAAAATGGTGCTTCAGACTGTCTTACCCAGTCGGTGCCGCCTGCGGGCAACATCGAACGCCAACATGGAAGCAGTGAAAAAAATGGAATAGAGTCGAGACACAACATGCGCTGTATAGCCTTGCGCAGATGAGAGACTTTCAAACGCTGAATCTAAAAAAAAGAGTTTCTCTACGCTGAAGAGCCTGGATCTGGAAACGCGCCTGTGTTTCCCATCATAGGAACCCCAAACGTAGAAAACACGCATGTGTTTCCCTTCAAAAATCAAAGAAAACATGGAAACGCACATGTGTTTCTCATCACAACGTAGAACAATGAAGGAAACGCGCATGTGTTTCCACACTCCAAGCAGCCAGTCGCAAGAAAACACGCAATGTGTTTGAAATGTGTTTCCTATTGCACAGTGATACTCATCAGTTTCGATGAACTATAATATGTGTTTCCGTGACAGATTGGAAACGCGCATGTGTTTCCACCCAAGCACAGCAAACTCAGATGGAAACACGCATGTGTTTCCATGTTGCACTGCGTTTACCTTAGGAAACGCGTATGTGTTTCCAGCAGGCAGGCCGTAGAGGGTAGGAAACGCGTATGTGTTTAACATGTGTTTCTTTGTGTTTCCTGGACAAGTGCCGCTTACATTTCTTTGTCGCGCCCTTGGCCCCAATTAAAGCTGGAGAGTTTTTTCGAATCTTCAAAAAGACCGCTGAAAAGAAATTCGTTGAATATGCTTGCATGAAAAACATGCACATACCGGCATGGACCTCCGCTGAAAGCGGCACGGTTATGTTCTTGCCATGAAAACGTCGCATTTGGCGGCCAAAAACGCAAGAGAATCCTGCCACAAACGAAGAAACTGCAGAAACCAAATCATTCTATAAAAATTCATGGCATATCAAAAAAAGGGAACAAAAAAACCTCCTAAGAAGTTATCGAAGTTATAACTTAAGTTATAAATCGTATAACATAAGTTAACATAACTTCAACTTAACTTCCGTAACTCATGTTATAAGTAACATAACTTCAACTTAACTAGGGGGCATCACAATGTACAGTTGCAAATCACAATGAAATTCTGTCGACCGCACATGGACGAAACACAGGTGAAACCCCATTTACAATGCGGAACCAATCCGAGACCGATCCGCCCATGATCCGACCACACACGAGACCGTCTCGCAACCGTCGCACCGCAGAGGTAGATCATCGAGGTTCGGGGACGGACTTTGTATGGAAAAACATAGGGGTTCGTGCATCTGCTATCTCTCAAAAACGCATTTCGTGCGAGACTTCCTTCAAAACTCCATCGGCAACTCCTCCACCAGCACCACTTGCAATCCCATTTACAGTGAGGGAACGATCCTAGAGTTGCAAATCACAATGGAATTCCATCGGCAACTCATCCACCAGCACCACTTGCAATCCCATTTACATTGCGGGAACGATCCTACAGTTGCAAATCACAATGGAATTCTGTCGACCGCACATGCACGAAACACAGGTGAAACCCCATTTACAATGCGGAACCGATCCGAGACCATGATCCGACCATGATCCGACCACACACGAGACCGTCTCGCACCCGTCGCACCGCAGAGGTAGATCATCGAGGTTCGGGGACGACTTTGTATGGAAAAACATAGGGTTTCGTGCATCTGCTATCTCTCAAAAACGCATTTCGTGCGAGACTTCCTCCAAAACTCCATCGGCAACTCCTCCACCAGCACCACTTGCAATCCCATTTACAGTGAGGGAACAATCCTAGACTTGCAAATCACAATGGAATTCCATCGGCAATTCATCCACCAGCACCACTTGCAATCCCATTTACATTGCGGGAACGATCCTACAGTTGCAAATCACAATGGAATTTCTTTGCTAACTCTTTCTGTGACTAACTCTTTCCCTCACTAACTCTTTCTTTGACTAACTCTTTCCCTGACTAACTGTTTCTTTGCTAACTCTTTCTTTCACTACCTCATATATCCTGACTAACTCTTTCTTTGACTAACTCTTTCCCTCACTAACTCTTTCTTTGACTGACTCTTTCCCTCACTAACTCTTTCTTTGACTAACTCTTTCCCTCACTGACCCTTTCTTTGACTAACTCTTTCCCTGACTAACTCTTTCTTTGACTAACTCTTTATGTGACTAACTGTTTCTTTGACTAACTCTTTCTTTGACTAACTCTTTCCCGGACGAACTCTTTCTTTGCTAACTCTTTCTGTGACTAACTCTTTCCCTCACTAACTCTTTAACTCTTTCCCTGACAAACTGTTTCTTTGCTAACTCTTTCTTTGACTAACTCTTTCCCTCACTAACTCTTTCTTTGACTAACTCTTTCCCTCACTAACTCTTTCTTTGACTAACTCTTTCCCTGACTAACTGTTTCTTTGCTAACTCTTTCTTTGACTAACTCTTTCTTTGACTAACTCTTTCCCTCACTAACTCTTTCTTTGACTAACTCTTTCCTGACGAACTCTTTCTTTGCTAACTCTTTCTTTGACTAACTCTTTCCCTGACATTCTAAAAGTCCGTAACACGGAAGTTTCTCCCCCTAAACTTCCTTTGACCATACCCCGTGTACCGTAAATGTTCTTCATTCACCTTCACATTGCTGACGTCCATACTTCTGCATGTACCATTTACGCGCGCGCCACACCCCCCCGCCATAAATGCATACCATGTGTACCACCCCGGCCCCCTTCCCCGCACAAAATTGGCATACCCATGCGTACCATTCGAGCGTACCATGCGTACCATTTATACGTACCACCCGTACCATATATGCGCATCCCCCCGCACCATCCAGGCGTACCATGCGTACCATTTATACCACCCGTACCATCTATGTGCACCCCCCCGCACCATCCAGGCGTACCATGCGTACCATTCATACGTACCACCCGTACCATCTATGCGCACCCCCCCGCACCATCCAGGCGTACCATGCGTACTGTTTTTGCGTACCACATGTGCGTACCCTTATACCCTGCGTACCGTACCCGCCCACAGAGCATTACTCTTGAAATTTGATAAAATGAGCTTCTTTTGAGACTTAAGCCTGGGTGTCAGGGAAAGCGGGAAATGACGTAACACAAGTTCCCTGAAACGTTGGGAGTTTGCTGAGAGTTTGTGATTTTCTAATCGTGCAAACTTGGAGGCTTGGAGAGCTGCCTCTTCCTTGCAACCCGCCAGGGTGGTTTGGGCCTCACTTCCTGCGACTCACAGCAGAAAGCGCCCATTTGGCGCGACATGGGTCGGCGCGCTTTCTCTCTGGCCGGGGGAGTGTCAGACGAAGATGAAGCACTTTTTTAATCTGTCTATATTTGTCTCATTCACATTTTGAATCAGAACCGCGCGACACTTCAAGCAGCTGCACAGAAGAACGCACTCTCCTATTCAGAGACTCCATGAAGATTTTGAAACTCCTGTTTGCCTGTCTGTGTCACTATTGATGGCATCCTTGAACATAGAGGCACGCAAGACCCATTATATAAAATATTTTTAAACCATGTATTGCAGGATTTTGATTCTTCTCATATACCATGGACTATGGATATCGGTGGCAGGCGTGGTGTCGAGGCTTTGCTGGACAACCGGAGCGTGCTGCAGGCATGTTGGCATGTGGCCTCAGTGGTCGGGTTGACATCTTGGATGCCGCTGATATGATCCCTGACTGCCATTGGGAAGACAGGGCACCCGAAATATGTTACCTTCCGCTTCAGTTGTCCTCTGTTATTGTAGAGCTTCGCACACCAACGGTGCTGTTGGTGGCTATGCAAAGCACTGCCTTTTTCTTTTCACAATTTCTACATTGCGACCCCTCCAAACCATCGTAAATACCATACAGGTGGTTTTGCTCCTTTCAGACACTTTGGGCAAACAACAGTGCAACCGGTATTTACATGTATTTATGATGCTTTTTGCCACGGACACTACTTTATTGCAGTAGTACAGTGTTTTCGCAAGCCATTAGCCACAAACCTTATTATTGACGCATTTTGGAGCATGTTGCCATTGTTTCCATGCTTCACACTGAACCAGCAAAAAGACCGTCAATTAAGATGAAAATACTCGATCAACTCCTCAGCTTGCGCATGAGTATCTATGATGTTGCACCCATTGACTGTAAAGTGTGCATGATGTCATTTGGAGTCAACAAGGAATAGACGAACCAATGGGTTATCTCCAATGATAACATGTTCTTTTATCCTGAAATCCGGGATGAAACTTCAAGACTTGGCCAACGACGTTTGGCTCAAGATGTCCGCATAAAAAGAGCGCTAGTCTTCGCGAATCTACTGGACTGCATTGCTGCATCGGTATCTTGAATCATCACCCTGATCTGTCATTAACTTCGCGGATTTACTGGTTATTGACCGATTTATCTGGTTATCAGCCGTAAGCCGGCTCTAATCAATCAACTGTGAGATCATCGAAACCTCCTAGGCTACACTGCATTGTGCACTACATCTAGGGTTCTTAATTGCAATCTTTCGTTCGCGCTTGCGCGATTGCTTGGTGGCTTGCTTGGGCGACTACATGAGTGAGAAGAAGCGGCTCCGTGAGGCGCGTGGTGGCAATCCGTGGCGTGCTTCTCAAGTGGCCAGGTTTGATCGTGGAGATACTAGTGCGATTACCTACGCTACTAGGGAGCAGCTTGCGAGAGAACCTCCATCCGATTCTGCTCGCCGACCTATTCCTCCTGAAGGACCGCCTCCTGAAGCTCCTCAAGGACCACCTCCTGGAACATCTGAGCCTGGTTCTTGGCGTTGGGTTTGGGTTCCTGATCGACCAGACGTTCGAGACAGAGATCAACCTTCGTCCCGCGCAGAGCGCGAAAGTGTAGCAGGTTCTGAGTCTATTGCATCTCGCGCTGAGCGCGAAGCTACGGTGGTTTCTACAGTATGGTCCGTTCCTACTTATCTACTTATTTCGAACTTATAAGTTCGAAATAATATTATGGTTAAGTAAGATTTAAGTATGATTTAAGTATGATAAGTAGCATGTATACTTAGTCTACTTATATGTAACTTATTTTATTTGTATGTAACTTAACCTACTTGTTAAGTAAAAAAAGAAACAATGTCTGAATCAACGCGTAGGTATGTGAAACCACCTCACTCCCTGAAATCTAAAGACTTCACCTTGAAGGAAAAATACCCAGCGTTTTTTTTCTTACTATCTTTTGGGCTAGCCGCATCTTGTTTTCAAGATGTATCTAAATGTATCTTTATGTATCTTTATGTATCTTCCTGACGCGGGGCAAAAGATACAAAAAGATACGTCGTATCTAAATGTATCTTTTTGTATCTTCCCCCCCCCGGGGCCCAAAGATACAAAAAGATACGTCGTATCTAAATGGGTGCAAGTCAAGATATGAGGTCCGGAACAAGCTCCGGGACCACACCCGTTCCATACCCCCGTTCCATACCCCCGGTCCATACCTCCTTGAAGGATCCGTTCCATACCTCTGTTCCATACCTCTGATTCATACGTTATGATATATCTACATATTTATATATATATATGTATCTATCTGAATATGTGCAGTCTGATTTTACATTTGTACGCGCATACTTGAGCGCACATACATACATGAGTGTTTACATGCAAGAATACGTTTACTATGCCCAAGCCCTGTGATTGTGTTGGCAAGTCTGTGCCTGCGGCGTTTGTTGTGTGATGGTAGGGATGCGCTTGGTTGTTGTCAGCTGGCAGTCTAAGAATGGATTGCTTGTAACCCTCCCTCCCTCTCAACCTGTGGCAGGTTTGCGCCTGCACCACATTGCACCACTTACAGTTGTTGCCTGTTGTGGCACAGCTGTGATGTTTGATGGTAGAGATGCGCTTGGCTGTTGCCAGCTGGCAGTCTAAGAATTGCTACTGGCTGCGCTACTCTCGCTCCAAACTGCCAATTTTTGATAAAGATGTGCTGCATGGTGGCAGAGCTGTGCTGGAGTGGGCCCCGTTTCGTTCCAGACCCCGTTCCATACCGTTCCATACCCGTTCCAGGCCCGGACCACCCATGTACCATCCCTGCCTGACCCACTTCCGGGTGAACAAATGGCAGGTTCTCACATAGACTGCTCCTAAGCCATCCTTTGCGCGTGGGTTTTGGGAGCCTAGAGTCTTGCTACGCGGGGACACAATCTACCCCATAGGGACCGGGACCTCTGAGTTTTAAGAGTAGGAGGTGGGACCTGCGTGACAGGTCTGAAGCTGAGTGGACAGCTTCACATAGTAGCCAGTGGGTGAGGCTGGCTACCGGTTATGTCCTATCTAGTGCACGAGCACTAGCCATGCAAGGCAAACCTGCGTTGAACAGGTGTACAACAAGGATGCCGCGCAGATGAGAAGTGAAAATGAGCGGCAGCCAGCGGTAGTAGCTTCAATGTGCATATCCTTGAGATGTATATTATTTACATATATTTTACATATATAATATACAGTATACATATTTATGTTTATGTACAGCTTATATTTCATCACATTCCAAAGGTCCGGAACAAGACCAGTTACGAAACCCCTTCGTTCCATACGTCCGGAACAGCGCGGAACGTTCCATACACAATTTTGACTCATAGCCAAATGTATCTTTTTGTATCTTTTGCCCCGGGTCAGGAAGATACATAAAGATACAAAAAGATACATTTAGATACATTTAGAGGTTTCAACGCAACATAAATAAGAAAAAAGGGGGCAACTTAAGCAGACATATTTGTTTTTGAAATATATTACAGTATATGGGTTTGTTTGGTTTGTTGTTTCGACATGCAATCCAAACAAGAGCGAACTAATTCAGATTATGTCTATTGGTTTCAGTGGTTTCAGTTGAATTTACCGAAAACTTTTTCTGGGTAAAAAATGGTTTATGATATGTTGCATGGAGACATGAGAGGAAACATGGACCACAAGGGCTATTTTTAGGTCGTTCTTCGGAATGAGTTTCCACGGCAGCACATGAGCCTTTTCCTTCAACAAAATATAGCAGCAGCAACACAAAGTGTCAGCGAAACAAAGGTCCGCCATTTAGGCGAAACAACGGTCCGCCAGTTCGCAAAAATACAAAGTATTGCACATGTAAAACAAAACGATCCAAGATGCGATACAAAAAACATGCATCCGCGGAAATCCACAAAATCTTCATCTTAGAGCTGAAATCAAAGGGAGTTTCATTTTTCAAACTCTGAAAATTATGTCTCCTAAGTCAAAAATATCTTTTTGAGAAATCAAAAAAAGTGAAAACTTAGCAAATCACCATAAAAAGATAAAATCACTTATACACCATAGGCACTATATGTGCTCCAAATACCTTATATGTGCCTCCAAAAGATTTCCTACTTATCCACTGCATAGCGGGCTTATATCCATAGTTGTATGTGGTTTACAACCATAGTTGTATGTATCTATAAGTGCCGCAAGTAAAAACCAGCATCCAAGTATCATTGACAAAACAGCTCTGTTGGTTGCCAAAGGTGGAGAGTGGTACGAAGATCGCATTTTTCGAGAGCAGCACCATAGCAGATTCTATTTCCTGAAGCCTGGTGACACTCATAGGCCCTATTACGAGAAGAAGTTGGCGGAGTGCCGAGCTGCTGTTGCATTGGCCTCGGCATCGGGGGCGCCAAAGGCGACAGCCCCCGGGTCTGAATTCCGGAACGCCCGTTAGTGGCATTGGATTACCACCATACCATTGAGTTTAATCAGAGTGTCAGCGAAGTGACTGTGCAGCATTTGCAGAACATACAGCGTTGGGGCTATAACATCTGCATTTGCAGTTTCTCTTCGAATACCACAACCCAGGAGAACACCTTCAAAACTTGCAGGGAAATTGAGAAGAAGCTTCACAGACCATTCGCTGGCATACATATCACGCGTACGAAATTACTGTCAGATCGCGAAGCAGGTCCCTCTATAACAGGGGACGTGGGGCCAAAGGCAATTGTTGTAAAGAGGGCGGGAGCCTGTATATTTTCACAGACGACCAGCAGCAGCTGCTGGACGAGTGTCTGTCGGTCCAAGCCGCTCGGGCTAAGGGTAATAGGGTGAGGTGTATCAAAGCACGTTACGGTGCGCACCAATCCTTTGACCCCTTAAGCAACGTGGAGGATTTCCCACTGCCATCAACACTACGAAACCTGAGGTAGAGTGTTGCAAAGGGCTATATCTTCAGCAGTTCCAGCGTTTGCCATTGACTTCACCCACAACAAGTCTGACATTTTGTCACGGAGTTTTTACTTGGCTTCCCCGGCACTTTGCCGTGCTTCCACTGGTCGATTGGGCGTTTGCCAAAGGATTTCACCCTACATTTCTGGCATTTTGCCATCGATTTCATTGGAGAATTTGGCACTTTGCCATTAGCTTTCACCACCGGCAGTTCAGGCATTTTGCCATTGAATTTCACCTCCAGGAGTTTTTGCATGAGTTTGTAAATTCGCGCCTAGCGCGTCCAGCACAGCAGAAGCGAGTTCGTGATCTTGCTACAACCTATTTGGATTGCAGATTGTGGCTTTGGGTGGACTGTCGCGTGTATCGCGTGCCACTGTGTTCCTGCATTTGAAGCATAGGATTTCTTGCACTATAAGTTCTTCGTGGTGTAAAAGATGAAGCAGGACGTGCCAGCCACTCCATTCAAGGTTGATGGGCCGAACTCAACTTGGACCTCATCATCTGATTCACCTGAAAACCCATTAGGGCAGTTGTCTACCACTATCCAAGCTAGCTCTCAGGAGATGGCCAATATGACGACCTTAGCAAAGCGAGGGCAGAGGTCATCTTCGTCCACGGCAGGTGGAACAGCTCAGTAGGGTGGGAGTGCATCTACGGGACAACAGATTCCACCAAGTTTGCATCAGTACAATACCCAAAATGTTCAACAAAATTTGTTTCTGCAGCAGGTCAATCAAGTAGACCCTGAACAGTTGGAGCAGTTGTTGGAGTCACTGGTGAGAGCAAGAGTGGAGAACAGCTATCATCAGATGAGGGGGGCCGCACAACAAGAGATCGAGCACATCAGACAGCAAGCCGGAAACAACCAAAAGGCATTGCAAGACCACGTTCTAGAAAGATTGCGACAACTTCAGCAAGAAAAGCAAACAGTTGAGATGAGAGAACAACAAAACACTGAACAAGCCAAACAATTGTGTGAACAGATTCAACAACAAGCAGATAGCCGCATTGCACAGATGGCAGAGGACAATAGGCAATTGAAGCTAGAACTTCATGAGGTTCAGAAGGCTGCAGAAGGCCAGGTGGCCTATGTCGCCCGACAAGCTGAGTTGTATCGGGATAGGGCTGTGAAGGAGCTTCAGATGCTTGGAGCGAAGTTGGAAGCCGCACATCAGCAGTTGAGGAATTCTGAGAGGGTGGCATCCATGGCTGGTTCAATTAGCGGTTCACCTTTGGTTTGGAAACCCTTTTGACCATCCACTTCCACACACACAGTCTGCACAACATACCGAGATCATGTCAGTTGGACCTGGAGCTAGTGTTGCCAGCATCAACCCCTTAGAGGTGATGTTTTGTTCATGTTGCGGTTCACAAAATGTGGTTGGGAGACCATCATGTTGGAGATGTTCAACATTGTTCAGCGCAGTAGTTGCCAACAATGGCGCGGACCAGAATCTTTTGCAGCGAGATCGCATTGGTGCTGCTTCATGTCCGCCTCCAAGTTTATCCCCGTCAGAGTCCATCAGGTTCCGAGGAGCTGGTGCTGCGAGGGCGTCTATCGCGCATGCGGCTACTGGCATTGCTCACCTTGGTTGGAAGCGCGTCTATCGCTGCGCCAACCGGGATCTTGGCATCAGGGGGGCTTTTGGGAGGAGCTGGAGTTGGTAATGGTGGAGC